GATACTAGGACCCATTCGGCCCAGTCTCTTTACAGAGAAATCAAACTCAAGTCTCCTTACTCGACCCAGATAAGTTACAACAGATATAAGAGAAAAATAACAATGAAAAGACAATGTCCTCGCAACTAATTCTAACATTTTCCATTGGTGCAAAGGTCTCCAACTAGTCTACCAAGTATCTCTAAGTGGAGCTCTTAGGCACAAAAACTTAGTCCAAATGCCCAAGAACTTGAACTGGGAGACAAGGTCAAACATGGATCCTGCCAAAGAAAAACTCTTGTTGAGAGTCAACAAATGAAACAAAACCAAAAGTTGAGCTTGAACTATGCAAAAATACGGGCTGGAAGATATCCTAGTTGACCAATCCAACCAGCTTTCATTACAAAAACAACCTTTTGGTCTTATTCCTTATATAAAAACATCCAGAAATTGAGTTCAGATCCAGTCCCAACAGCCATTGCAGCCGTGCATTCGGAACATCTCCCTTGTCCTTCATGGCAAGATGTACCCGATGTACAGCTGCGATGGCTGCTGGGACCCTGTGTTGGAACCAGATCCAAACTCCAGGAATCTAGGTTCTCATGTTTGGACTTCACCAGATGTACAAAAAAAAAGAAAGAAAAAAGAGGAGAGAGGACCAAATCTGATGCCAAGTTTTTATGGTTTTCAACACACCCAAGAGAGGGCAATATCACCCCATAATAACCTTAAAAGAAACTCAAAAAAAAAAAAAAAAAAAAAAAAACTGATGATAATGACTTGCAAAATATTACTTATTAAATTATGGAAGTAGCTCAAAAAGAAGATACTATACAGGTTTGAACTGCCATGACTAGATAAGGCATAGATCTTCTTGTTCATAGAGCAGTCATACAAAAAGTTTGAACTTTTGACTCCTAGTCAATTTCTGTAGTTTATTCAATTAACTCCCACAATACACCTGTTTTGATACCATGTAAACCTATGGTTTCTCATGGTAACATGAGAACAAAGAATAGTAGAAGGCGTATTTGAATGAATAACACTACTTCTGAAGGGTGTAACTTTATTAAGAGAGCATAAATATGTATAACTACCAAGTTTCCCTTGGGCTAAAATAAAACACATACTATTGCACAACTAGGCAATTTATAATGGCAGGACAAAGACAGCAGAATTATAGACAAAGAAATGCACAAATAAATAAATCTATCCCCATCTATCCAGCCTTATATGCCTCTAAATAAACCATTTTCCCTGTAATTAACCATTAAAAACCCATTTGCAGCCTACAAGTTCCTTCGCTTTTGAAAAACCGTCTGCCTCCCATATCTGATTCTTCAACAATGCATCCATCTTAATTCTCATTGCATCGCTCCACTAAGTCTAGATAAAGCCTTTTTCATAAATTCTTGGGGACAAACTTAATAAAATCAGAAGAAATGATCTATAGGATGGTTATAAAAGACAGGATAAAAAATGAGAAATACAATGAGCAGTTGATGGATTTTTCTCATCCTTTCTCAAGGCAAAAGGTCAAGATCAGTAAGCTACTAGACCAGATGTATGACATCTGTCCTACCCAAGGCAATTAGTTGTGGAAGAGGCTCTGGTTCTAAGGTGAGAACAACCTTCTTGTGCCTTTGATAAACCTGAAGCTCCTTCTAAAGATTTGGATCAGGTAAACAATGGTGGGAACTAGAATGAATAGGAGTACAACCTAAAATCTAATGAATATGGATAGGAAGAGGAACAACAGGATAAAGATAAAAGCTAGTGTCTCTCTCACCCACACCAAAAGTACTAGAGAAATAAGGTAAGAACTCAACAAAAGAAATGTCCATGGAATCAAATTCATGCCCAGTTACTAATCAAAATAGAAATACCCCTTTTGGAATTGTAACATATCCCAGGAATACAAACTTGATTGCCTTGAGGTCAAATTTGGATCTACAAGGACCAAGAATGTGAATGTAACAGGTATACACAAAGACTTTCAATGGAACAGAAAACATCTCACCATTAGGATATAACAATTTAGAAGAGGACTTAAGGTCAGTAATACAAGAGGGCATATACAGACAGGTGGTTCTTTCTCTCAACAATTCCATTTTTCTTTGATGCATTCCCTGGCATTATTTGAATGAAATATTTTAATACAAGAATCAATCTAGGTGAGAATCATTTTTTGAAAATGGCAAGTCGAATAGTGCATCTCATCCCAAGAACATGTCAAATAGAACTATGACAAATGAGAGAAGCCGTACACAAATAACAAGAAATAACGACCCCCCGTAACAAAGTAACAACTAACAAGTACATGATATAGCCTACATAATCAAAATAAACAATTACAAAAGGAAATTCAGATCTTAAATTACTTAGAACAAAAGAACTTCTACAATATCAAGCTAGTTGACAGCTTTCACAATGAAGACAAGAGATCTTAAAAGACTAAAACAAAGTATGACAAGTCTAAAGAATGAAAAGTTAAATGCCCCAAATGAGTATGCCAAAGTATTGCTCAGTCTATAGAGTATAGACTTAGCGATACAAACCCAAACACCAAACATTGATTCTATTGAGCCCTTCCTCCATGCAGCACATATAGAAAGTTTATCCCATTCACCTCATGGCCACTCTCAATCATCCTCTTCGACTCCATATCCTAGAAAACACAACAGTTAGGAAGAAAGGTCACTAAATAGTATAGATTTTTTGTGAAGCTACTAATAGAAAATAAATTGGTGTTCACTTTAGAAACATCAATAATACAAGGATCAGATTGCTATATATTCTGATGTTTCCCCTCCCTTCCCAAATATGGGTGCAAGAGAATCATCATCTATCTATACATATCCCTACCAGAGCATTATTGGTATGAATGGAACAACAATGAATCACTAGTCATGTGATCAAAAACACCTAAGTATATGATCCAAGGGATGCTCTGACACCTGAGACAAAAGCAATGTTGACAGTCACAACTCACGAGTACCTAGAGGTGCAAATGAAGAAGATACTATGCCAAAAGGTATACACCCTGTATTCCAAACTATATTCACCAATTAGCTCAGGTACTTACTATACTTGTCAAATTCTGCCTGGCTACAGCAAGATTCTTCATCAATGGTAAAGTGGACAATGTAGACATGATTGCAACATTATTCTTCTTATTATTTTTTAACCTTGCAAGTTTCAAATTACAGTGCAATTTCTAATAGGTTTAGTAACATGTTTTGACTTCTTGCAAAACTTACACCCACTTCCTTTTCCTCTCCCGCTCAGTTGACAAGCACCAAGTGCAATGACTTGGGCTTTACTTTTGCATGAGCTAAATAATCTAGTGTGAATGAGTAGAACAACAAACACCTACCCTCTTCACTGTAAACCAAAGAGTAGGCTTGGGATAGTGTAATGTCATGCCTAGTGAGGATAAGGTGCCTAGTTATGCCATACTCTTGGTTCAACCCAGTCAAGAACCCAAATATCCTATTAAGTTGAAACAGCCTCTTATAGGTGGTTTCATCATTTAGGCTCTTCCATTGCATGGCTTCTCTCCCTGTCACATCCGTTTTGAATTTATAAACTGCCTTCTATTTCCTTCTGCCCACATTGCTCCAATCACAGCTGCTGGAATGGAGAGCCAAACACACTTCCCTCTTCTGCACATACCTGGGAGGCTCCAGCACCACAAAAGCTCCTTGACCGACCCATGGTTTCAAATGTCGCGAAATTTTGCTAATGTCGCCCGACATATGTTGATGTCAGGGCTCACCGACATGAAAATGGATGGAAATATAAAAATTACATTATTTCGGAGGACATTTCCTATATTTCGGAAATGTCAACCAAATCGATCCAAATAACCAAAAAATAGACAGTTTTTCCTATTATGTCGACAAGATGTCGACTAATGTGCATTAATAATATAATATATTAGTATATTATATTAATATAATACAGTACATTAATATAAATTATTCCATTAATATTTCTATTTAATATTTCAAAAAAAATATTTATAAAAAAGAATTAAAAAATAAAAACAAAGAATAAATTAATTACTTTATAATATAAAACATAAAATATTTTTCAAGTAATAAAATATTAACTAGTTAGTATTTTTAAAATATTTATTAAAATCAGAAAATGTTTATTAAATTTTATAATAAATCATATTCTAAATTTAATATAAAAAATGAGAATAAATTCATTAGATTTTATACTAAACCATAATTTATTATAAATTTAGTATTAAAAATCATAATAGATTCATTAAGTTTTATAAGAAATCAGAATTTATCATAATCTTAATAGTTAATACTACAAAAAGGAGAAGTAGTTTATTAAATTTATAATAAAACAAAATGTATTATAACTTTAATATTTAAAAAATAAGAATAAATGTTTTTCTATTTACTAGCGTGAAATAAATATATTAGAATTTATAATARATCAGAATTAAAAATAAGAAAGGAAAATATCGGATAACCTTGTAAAAACAATAAAATGCATAATAAATTAGTAAATCGTCATTTACTAATTTGTTATTGATCTTAGTTTCTTAGCTTTATATAATGGTTGGGAATAAGATAATAGTCTAGAAATATGTATTAATGCTTCTTTTATCATTTTACAAAATATCATTGYATATTTYMACRTATTTCATAATATTTCCACAATGTCTCTAATTTTTACAATATTTCCCCTTGACATTTCCGACATTTCCAACATATGTCCTATATTTTGGTAAGCRACATTTCCATCGACATAGACATTTTAAACCTTAGACCGACCTAGGCATGGATCAACCCACTCCCACAGCCTTAAGAAAGTGCCACCAAATCCAAGAGACAACCAGACAGTGAATGAAAATGTGGTCAACATCCTCTGTCACCTGTCCACATAAATTACAGCTAAAGTCAAGAAGCTGCAACACTCTTCTAACCAAATTATCCTTGGTCAGACATGTGCCCAACACTGCAGCCCAAACCAATGCATTGATCTTTGGCAGGAAGTAAGGATTCCAGATTCATTTTTCTGGGAGAAGCCCCAAGCTACTTTCAGATAACTTGAGGGAAAAAGACTTAACTGAAACACGCCATCTGAACTCCACTTCCACCACCATTCGTCCTCCCAGCTAGGATCCACCACCGCTCAACAGCAAGAGCAACCTACCTAGCCAATCTCTCCACCTTCCAGTCCTGGAAACCACAACTGAACTTCAGATTCCAGATTACGTTCCTCCCCAGAACTTCAAAATAGTGAACAGAAATCTCTTGATCTTGGGCAGCAGAAAAAGCCAAGAGAAAGTCTCAGCCAAGGGGAGGTCAGAGCACCAGGAGTCCTTAAAGAACCTCAGCTTGACACCATTTCCCACCTTGAAACTAATACCCCTAAAGAAGATAGGAAAATTTCATTATTTCTTACTAAAGGAAACAACTGTGAGAGGGCAAAGATACAATAGTGATCCAAAAAGGAGAGCTTGGTTAAAGACTTTAATTTTTCTAACAACCAGCCCTCTGTTCCAGTTAACCAGGTGGATCTTCTCCTCCGTCCAACCGCTCCAGAGGAAATCTCTTTGCAGCTTTTCAATTCTCCAGGCCACTTTGACTGGAATTAGGAACAGGGATAAACAGTAGGCTGGATGATTTGCCAATGTGCTCTTTATAAGAATAGTCCTTCCACCCAGAGATAAATACGTATTCTTCCAGGAGGCGAGTTTCTTTCCACACTTTCCAGAACTGGCTCCCAGACAACAGCTGAAGTGCATTTGGCTCCCAAAGGAAGGCCCAGGAACTTTGTAGGGAGGTAACCCCACATGACAAACAAGAACTGCCAAATCCTCCACATTTTCCATGCTCCCTACCAAAATCAACAGGCTACCTCAGTTTTCCTTCAAGTCAGCCACAACTTCAAACCAACAAAGCACACCCAGGAGCCCTTCTAATTGAACAGCATCTGCATTAATGAAGCAGAGAGTGCCATCTGCAAATTGAAGAACCTACACTTTTTCCCCTTCTGGAACCATTGCAAAACCTTCCCATTGCCCCGTCTCTCCAACCAGCTTGATGAATTGGGTCAGGATCTCCATCAAACAAATGAAGAGGAGAGGCAAGAGGAGGTCACCTTGAAGAATGCCTCTGAAACTCTTGAAGAAACCAGCAGCCTGGCCAGTCACAAGCACAGAAAACTTAGGTGAGATGATACAAACTTTTGTCCAGTTCCTCCATTTCTGCCCAAAAATGAAAAGTGAAGAAAACAATGGGTCAAAAGAAGTGCAAATTCAGGGGGTGAGAAGAAATCAGTTACTATGGGCATATTTGTAAAATGGGGCAGAGGAATTTGGAGAGAGATAAGAAAGTGTATCTCTTTCTATTTGTATACATATCAGTACTCAATTATTCTTTTTTATTAATGAAATTTAACAGCAGTTCATCAAAAAAGATGAGAAAAGTAACATAGTTGTGATGTTTTCAGGACCAATTCGTGTTGGTGATTCTTTGAGGCATAAGTGATGGTAGTGATAGAAGGTTTAAGAAGAGAAAAAGAACTGAACATACAGAAATTAATCATAGAAGGGGATTCAAAGGTGGTAATAGGATGGCTGATGAATTATGAAGTAACTCTCTGGATGTATAGAAATAAAATTAAAAGGATTAGATGGTTGACAAGGTCTGTGATGATGAAAGTGCAATGAGTTCAAAGTCAGCTAACTCAATGGTTCATACTCTATCCAAGCAAGGGGTTTTGAGGGATCAAATTTTCTAGGCTAAGTTGTAATATGTATGAGTGGGGAGAGGGCTTGGCCTATGTAAAATTGTACATATTATTCTCTTTCTAATGAAATTCCTGTTTATCAAATAAAAAATGTAGAGAGGAAAATCATTGAATATGAATTTCATACTAAAAATCAAGCTAGTGCAAGCTTAGAGAGCAAATGAAATAATGAGCTCAGGAAAATCCTTCAAACCTGTGGTATAGGTAGCACAGCAAGAAAATCAACAACAAAATACCGCTGCAAATACCGCTGAGCTATCTGTGCAGGATCTATTACAAGTTCACCTCGACCAAAAACCCTAGATGATGGTGCAATATAAGCCGTGCGGAATTGGAAAAACATGCGAATAACATAGAAGGCATCAACCATTGTCCGCAGTGTTGTACTTGTAATTGCTAATTTTTTATCTATACCCAAACAGTTTGAATTTTTATCAATAACTGGAAGATAAAAAAATAAAGGATCCACTGATACAGCAAGAATACACGATATGACAAAGAGCTTATTCCACATCTGGAGGAATTTATCTTGGGGGTCAAATATCTTCTTCTCTGACACTTTAAGGTCTTCTGGAAACACTGCACGAGTAACCCCATACCGAATGGATCGACCTAGTGACAACAATCCTTCTGAACCCTTCCTCATTCCCATCCTAAAGGAATGCGATGGTCCTGATGGAGTATTAGTTGCACTACCAGCACAATTCAATCCCTCAATGTTGAATCCGCATCGGTTCACTCCAGCATCTGATGACAATGATAATCTGGAATCCATGTCGTCCAACCTAAACCCATAAGAAAGGAAGGAAGCATGTAAGTACCAAAATTAGTTGCCAAGTATTATAATACCAATTTCAGTCCAATAAAAAATTAATAGAACACAACATAGGTGCCAAATTTCACTTCCTTTCTTTCTATCCTAAGAAAATCATTCACTCATTCAGAAAATTTATTTGTATTCACTATGGTTATCCTCATATACAAATAAGTGCTTTAGACAATGGCAATATTTAGGTTGCCATCCATCCATCTATGTCAAATGGCCAAAATTATATTCATGTGCAACATCAATAATAATAATTAAAAAAACTAGACAGATGCCTAGGCAATGGATTTTTTTAAACTAAAACCATATATTCTAGGGTAGTTCCGTAGGTTCCATAACCATCTTTCCTTAACAATTATTCATAATTTTCATAAGAGAAGTATAAATTTCATGTTCAAGTCTAGAAAATCAACATTTTATGAGAAGAAAAAAGAACAAAGGAAAGAAACTTCAAAAAATACAGGGGCTGAACCCCTACTTTTCTTATAGGAAAGAAGAAAAGAAAAGGTGGAAGAAGAAAATGTGTTGATTAGACAAAATTTAAAGTTCTTCCCTTGCTTATTGGTTCAGGTTTTGAAATTTTTGAGGGTTCAATCAAGGATCAAAATTTCAATATGATACGCCCCGTATTGGGTGTATTGTATTGTATCTTTGGGGTCCCGATACCTATTTACAGGTATTTTTAGGGACCCATTTTTTTAAATAATATATATATATATATATTTTAAAAATGAAATTAAAAACCAAAGAAATAAAAAGGGGGAGTATCGTTACAAGTACCGATACTCCTCTGCCAATACATAGAGGTGTATGTTTGCATTGATTAAACCCTAACAAGATAAGAAAATAGTATATAAACACACAAAATGAATATTCTAGTTTAATAATGTCCGTTTTATAATTATAATGTCAAAAAATAAAAAATATAAAAGTATTTTATAACTTAGTGCACAAAACTGCTTGGCGACTAGGTGAGGCGAGCCTCCAAGGGCGCTTGTCACCTAGGCGCCCACCTAGGCGTCGCCTTGACAACTATCCTCTTTGGTAGGAGATAGATCACTTAGAAACTGTGGTTTGGGAGGGTATGAAGGATACAACAACCTATCAGAGGTTGGTAGAAAAGAATAGGGTTTTTGAGTTCTTGGTTGGGCTAAATCCTAAATTCAACATTGCCAAGCAACACATCCTTTCTAGAGAAAGTGTGACTCTTTCTCAAAGCTTATGCCTTTGTCTCTAGAGAGGAGAACAGGAGGAATGTCATGTTGAGACAGATTGGGATTGATTAGTACAGTCAAATCTAAGCCAAATAGAGACAAGGGGAGTAATGTGGCTAGGAGGGAGGACAAGAAGGACTTGGTGTGTGACTATTGCAAGAAGACTAAGCATACTAGAGACACTTGTTGAAAGCTTTACCCTCATCTCATACCAGCTTGATCAAGAACAAGAAGGGAAATGCAAATGTACAATTATAGGAGACTCTTCGGTACCCCTTTCCCAAGTTGATTTGAAGTCCATTGCAGTAGCAGCAATGAGAACTGAAATGGAGAAGTATGGACAACTTATGAGTAAGAAAGATTTAGCCAGTTCTAGTTCTTCAGACCGGCAACACAGTGCAAGAGCCAACCACACTACTTCCTTTGCTCATACAGGTAGTTCATATGCGGTTACAAATCATGCATCCACCTCAAGTAAGGAAGGACCTCCTTGGATTATAGACTTAGGAGCATCTAAGCACATGACCAATATATCTACCCTTTTTAGTTCTTACCAGTTGTGCTCTGGTAGAGATAGAGTCCCTACAGCAGATGGTTCCCATATTCCCATTGCTGGGAAATGGACATTTAGAGTGACAAATGACATTACTTTATCCTTTGTCATACATGTCCCTAGACTCCATACTAATCTTCTTTCTGTAAGCTCCCGGATAAAAAATTTGAATTATTCAGTGACCTTCCTTCCTGGTAATTGTGGTTTGCAGGATCTAGAATCAAAGAGGACGATTGGGAGTGATCGTGAGATGAATGGACTCTACCTTTTGGATGAGATTCCAAGACATCAGAACCATCATGTTAGTAGCAGCAATAGTAGTGGATTAGAGCCAGTGAGTGAAATTATGCTTTGGCATAATCGTTTGGATCATCTTTCTTTCATTTCATTAAGGTCTTCGCTTCCAATGTTGTTTGAGTCTGTTTAGTTGTCTAGTTTGGAATGTGAAAGTTGTCAGTTAGGAAAGCATTGTAGACATTCTTTTAAACCAAGTAATAAAAGAAGTTCCTTTGCTTTTGATATTATTCACACTGATGTATGGGGACCTTACAACATTTCTTCCATGGGTGGTTACCATTATTTTCTCTTTTTGTGGATGATCATACACGGCATTCTTGGATATATTTGATGAGATCACATGATGAAGTACCTATTTTGGTGTGGCAGTTCTACCAAATGGTTCTCACGCAATTTGGAGTGAGGACTAAAGTCTTCAGATCAGATAATGCTAGAGAATACTTTGAAAAGGACTTGGCAACATATTTTTTGGAGCATGTTGTGATTCATCATAGTAGTTGTGGAGGTGGCAAGAAGCCTTATGGTGTGTACCTCAGTTCCTATTCATTTTTGGGGGCATGCAGTTCTCACAACCATGTATTTGATTAACCGTGTTCCTTTACACACTTTGGGGTTTAAGGCATCTTTTAGCCTACTTTTTCCAGATGGGGAGATATTTCTTATACCGTTGAGAATCTTTGAGTGTGTTTCCTTTGTTCACATTCTTGGTCCTCATCACAAGAAATTGGATCCTAAGGCCAAGAAATGTGTTTTCCTTGTGTATGCTCAAAACCAAAAGGGGTATTGTTGTTATGATCCAATGTCGGGGAGCAGGTTTGTCACTATGGACGTTACCTTCTTTGAGTCTATTTTCTTTTTCTCGGTTGGTTCTCCTCAGGAAGTGTGTCTGTGGAGAACTCACAACCTCTTCGTCTTCCTGTTTCATTTATTCCTTCATCTGATCCATCTATCCCACCATTAGCAGCTCAAGTCCCATTGCCTAATCCACTACGGCCAGCTTCACAGTTCTATCAGCGCCGCTAGAGGAGGGTTGACTCCACACATGCTCAAATAGAAGAACATGCACCACTCTCCATCAGTCCATCTAAGATCTAGGTTTGGCTAATACAGTTCCAGGTATTTCCCTTGAGCATGATCTCGTTATTTCCCCTGTGTTTCTATACCTAACACTGTTGTTGCAGTTGATCCTACTGATCTTGATCTTCCCATTGCACTCCACAAAGGCAAGAGAAAGTGTACAACCCATTGCATTTCACACCATCCTTCCTACAATAACTTATCACCCTCTTACTGTGCTTTCCTTTCTTCCTTGGACTCTATATCTATACTCAGGAATGTCAATGACACTCTCTCCAAACCTAAGTGGAAAATAGATATGCAAGAAGAAATGGAAGCATTAGTTAAGAATCAGACATGGGAGATAGTTGATCTTCCTACAGACAAAGAGACAGTTGGATGCAAATGAGTGTTCACTATGAAGTATAGGGCTGATGGCAGTATAAAGAGGTACAAGGCAAGGTTGGTTGCAAAAGGGTATACACAGACCTATGGTATTGATTACTGGGAGACTTTTGCACCAGTTGCTAAGATGAGTTCAGTTCAAATATTCTTGTCCCTAGCAACTACCTGTTCATAACACCTGCTCCAACTTGATGTTAAAAATGCTTTTCTTAATGGTTATATGCAAGAGGAGGTATATATGGACATTCCAATTGGCTTTTTTGAGAATGTTGGTAAGGGAAAAGTTTGCAGGCTGAAGAAATCACTATATGGTTTGAAACAGTCACATAGGGCATAGTTTGACAGGTTTAGAGGGGCACTTATCCGTTTTGGGTACACACAAACTCAATTCGATCATATTCTCTTTATAAAAAGGAGAGAGACACTCTTGTCAGTATTGATTGTATATGTAGATGATATAGTTGTTATAGGAAATGATCTAGGTGAACTGAAATATTTTCTGGGATTGAGGTTACAAAATCCAAGCATGGGATTTTCATCTCTTAAGAGGAAGTATGTGTTGGACTTACTACAGGAGACTGGGAAGCTAGGAACTAAACTAGCTAATAGTCCTATTGACCCAAATCATAGAATTAATGTTTTGGATGGTGAGTTGGTTAAGGATGTGGGAAGATATCAGAGGATGGTAGGCCGGGTGTATTTATGTATGATACGTCCAGACATTTAATGTTGTGTTGTGAGTCAGTATATGCATGCTCCTTGGGTTCAGCACTGGGAAGCCATTGAAAGGATACTTGCATATCTAAAGAAGCATCCTGGTAGAGGGATTCTTTTCTCAAACCATGAAAGTTAAAAACTGTAATCCTACACAGATGCAGATTGGACAGGTTGTTTAGATGACAAGAGGTCTACATTGGGGGTATGCACCTTTGTGGGAGGAAACTTGGTTTCATTGAAGAGTAAAAAAGAGTCAGTTGTGGCTAGATCAAGTGCAGAGGCTGAATATATTGTGACAACCAAGCTGCAATCAATATTACCCACAATCTAATTCAGCATGATAGGACTAAACACACTGAGGTTAATAGGCACTTCATAAGAGAAAGGATATCAACTAGAGAAGTTTTCTTGCCTTATGTCTCCTCTGAATTACAATTGGATGATGTCTTCACCAAAAGGGTTGCAAAGAACAAGCTTAGATACAATCTACGCAAGTTGGGAATGTGTGACATTTACTCCCAACTTGAGGGGGAGTGTTGAGGTTTTAGACAATTTTGTTCAGTTTGTAGTGGTAGTTTTTTATTATTTATTGTTTAGATAGGAAGTGAGGCCTACATTGGTTTCAAATGTTGCGACATTTCGCTAATGTCGCCCGACATATGTCGATGTCAAGACTCACCGACATGAATGGTAATATAAAAATTACATTACTTCGGT